AAATATAGCTCATTCTCCAACAAAAACTATAATTTTCTTTGTTGACGTTGATGAGCATTTCTTCAATATAACGAATAAGTTTGAAATTTTGATGTACATGGTTTTTGCTGTAGAATGAGCTATATTTTTTATAAAAAATTAACGAAAAAATTTATCACGAAAAACTTTTGGATTATCGTAAAAAAAGCAATGCAAAATACTTCTGTGAATCACTGTATATATATATGTGTATATATGTAAATATATATATATCTATATATATAAAACAAAGTCGTGTTAGTTACACCATTTATAACTCAAGAACGGCTGGACCGATTTATATGATATTTGTTTTTTGAATTTGGCTACCTTTCGAATAGCAGAATAACTATTAAAACAACCGTTAGGTGGCGCTGTAGTCGAGTTATTAGTAAAACCCGTATTTATGGTCCGATTCGCCTCATATTCGAGACATGTATTGACAATAGGAAAAACAATACCATTGCAAAAAAAAGAGCCGCCAGGTGGCGTTGGAGTCGAGTTATTTAAAAATCGTTTTTATGTATTGATAACAGTAAAAAGAATTCTTTCGAAAAAAATTTGCTGTCTGGTGGCGCTGAAATTGAGTTACATATGTATATGTAACTAAAAATCGTATTTATGCTCGAATTTATTTCATTATCGAAATAAATGAAGTCACATATCGATGGTCCTCTGCAATGACACAATTCACAATTCAAAAAAAAAATATTCCTTATTACTGTTAAGAGGCTCATGTTTCTAATCCTTGGCTAACCCATGTCTAATGCTAACTAAAGTAAGAAGTAAAGATTATACATGAATAAGACAACGATTAAAGACATGAGCCACTTAACAATAGTACGAGTTTTTATTTTTTGAATTTTGAATTGTGTCGTTATTATAGAGGACAATCGATATTCGAAATTCAGTCGGAAGCCGCCGTATACGAACAGCTGTTCCTTATTTATTCTATCTTAATATATATAAAAATCCCGTGTCACTGTGTTCGTTTACGCTAATCTCCGAAACCGCTTAACCGATTTCAATGAAGTTTTGTGGGTGTGTATTGTTTGTTCCAACTTAAAAGATATGATAGTTTTGAACCCGAGAAAAAATATATTGTTTTTTTTTCATTGAAATTTTTTATATGCCTCTCACGCCGTGCTTATCTCTATATATATAAAAATGGTGTACAAAATTTGTAGTAATTCATTAATTGTAAACGGTTGGACCGATTTGGCTAAATTTTTTTTTAGATGTTCGTAATTGCCAGAAAGTGTTTACGAAAGAAAATTTTGCGTAACCCTCCGGGAAAGTCTGAAAATGGGAAAAATCGAAAATTGATTTTTTTTATAGAATTTTGTGTGCGATTCCTTCGGAATGGCTTTCGAAAGGAAACAGGAAAATTCTAAGTGGAAAACTCGGCAAAATTCGGAAGAACACGAAAAATTTAAATTTTTTTCTACGAAATTTTGCATTTTATCGCATGATTTGATGATCTTGGACGAAGTAATGTTGGAAAATTCGTTGCTAAGCTTGGAAAATTTCGGATAATTGTGAAATTCATTGTGAGCATGAATCAATTGGGAACATTTTTCTCCTGTATCATAACCGATTCGAATGGTTGCTGCTTTTTTTGAAGGGTGTTAAGAAGGAGGTGTGCACAAAGTTTTATTTTTTCCGATAGGTGGCGCAAGGGTCGAGCTACGCTAAAAAAATGCATTTGGTTCGTAGGTAGCATTTTGCCTAGATTAGCATATTAGATAAACTTTTTTTCGTTGAGGGGGCAAGGGACTGATCTATTCCAAAAAGTCTTATTTATGATCCGATTTGCTTGAAATTTGGCACGTAGGTAGCTTATTGCCTGGATTAACATATAGGATACTTTTATCTGATAGGTGGACCAGGGACCAATCTATTCCAAAAAATCTTAGTTAGTTATCTGATTTGCTCGAAATTTGGTACGTAGGTAGCCTTTTGCCTAGATTAGCATACAGGTTCCATTTTTTCCGTTAAGTGGGCCAGGGTCCGATCTATTCGAAAAAGTCTTATTTATAGTCCGATTTGCTTGAAATTTGGCATGTAGGTAGCTTATTGCCAGGATTAACATATAGCATATTTTTTCTGATAGGTGGACCATATACCGATCTATTGGAAAAAATCGTATTTATGGCGCGACTTCCTTGAAATTTGGCATGTAGGTAGCTTATTGCCAGGATTAACATACATATACGATAATTTTTCCTAATAGGTGGACCAGGGACCGATCTCTTCCAAAAAATCCTATTTATGGTCCGATTTGGTCGAAATTCGATAACCATATTATAGATATGCGTAGAATAAAATTGAGTCATTGTGTTACAGTTCGAAAGGTGTTTGAAAGCGCGCAAACATGCGGGTATTAGCTAATTAACAATACTTATTACACAGGCCAAAAAAATTGATACAAATTTTATGCAGCAAATGTTGACAATGTTTTTGAGATTTGTTTTTTGTGCTGATTACGAATCCGTAAGCATAAAGTTTCCATCATCCAGATTAAAAAAAAAAAACGAGGTCAAAGTGCCAAAAAATCGCGTTTTTTGCAATATATGAGAAGCTGTAGCAAAGAAAAAAAGGGTGGTAGAACCTTCCACTTCGGCTTGGATTAAAACTAAAAATCTCGACTACTATCCCTGCAAATTCCTGAACTTTTGCTTGATGGTCACTTATAGTCATTTGGTGATCAGGAAAAACTGATTTTGGGAAGTTTGAGTACCTACCGCAATTAAGCAAAAGGTGATAGAACATTCCACTTAGGCTTAAATTAAGGCTTGGACTTCTGACTTCAATCGCTGAAAATACCATTCCTGCACCTTGACCCTAAGGTCACCAATAGTCATTTATTGAACAGCTAACACTGATTTTTACACACTTTTTTTAATTGCATAATTTTCCAGTATTTTTTTTTATTGTTGGACGATAAAAAGTAATTGAGTATAGGTGACCATCAGGGCAAGGTGCAGGAATAGCATTTTCAGGGGTAGTAGTCTGTAGTTCTAGCTTTAATTTGAGCCTAAGTGGAAGGTTCTATCACCTTTTGTTTCCTTGCTAGAGTTTCTCAAATATTGCAAAAAACGCGATTTTTTTACACTTTCACCACGTTTTTCTCAATATATGGAGCTGATGGAAACTTAATACTTACGGATTCGTAATCAGCATAAAACATTCTATCAAAAACAGATTTAACATTTGCCGCATCAAAATCGGTGTTGCCCTGTGTTACCTACACTAATTATATAAATGTCCGCGAAATTGGTATAGAGATTTTGGGGCTACTGGAAAGGGACGCGTTACCTATCTGTAAATATATACACCCAGAATACAGTGTTTTTTTCTTTTTCATAATATTTTTTTTTGGTGATTTTTTATAGAAATATAGTTTATTTTGCATCAAATAGTACCTAATTTTGAGTATGCAGTTTTATAGTTCACTCAATTTCAGTATCTTAAAGTTCAAGTTTTAAATGGCTATAAGTTACCGTTGATTTTTGAGAACTTTTTCGCTGATGATGTTGCGCATTTTCTCCGTATAACGAATGCGTGATAGTTTTTTTTTTGAATTGGAAAAAATGCTGAAGAGTGTCAGTATGTAAAAGACCTATTCTGGTGGGTGAAGTTCTCCTAAACGACCGAAACGATTTTAATGAAGTTTTTGTATTTGTTTGAATAGGTCCCTGTACAGTTTAAGTCCACAACTTAAAACGCCAGGTGCCGCTGGAGTCGAGTTATTACTCAAAATCGTATTTGTGATCCTATTTGACTTATATTTGAGATATATATGTATTCGTAACGATAGGGGCAATAATATTGCAAAAAAAGATGCGCAAGGTGGCGCTGGAGCCGAGTTATTGCCAATATCGTCAATTCGGAGGCACCAGGGATCAAAGTCAAACTACCCCCATTAAATCAACCATCAGAACCATTGCGGTGCTTGCTTTACGGTGACTAAACAGAATGTGGACCAATGATACTCACCAGTTTGGAAATTGCCACCAACTATACTATACAGATTCAAGAACGATTCACCATCGAGCCGCAAGGACTTATTCCCGGTATAACGCTTTCGTCAGGATATTTAAGACGGCAATAGAGGATATGCCTTCTGTCGACAACAAAACCGAACGTGAAGGTGAATTGCTGGCGAAAACGTTGGACCAAATGTTTCAATAAAAAAATTAATTTTGGGCGGGCCGAAGTTCGCCGGGTCTGCAAGTATATATAAAAATTATATGTTATATGTATATATATATACAAATTTACAAAGTTATATATAGTTATTTAGTTTACTGCTGAATTTTAAATTTAGAATGGGCGTACTGAAGAAGGTCCCTTTCGAAATCCAACCGCTGATCTTCAGGCAACTTTTCAACTAAGTCTCCGATAGCTCCCAAGTAATTGTCGTGGGTGTAATTTGTTTGCGTTTTTATAAAGCTGCTTACATCCTCAACAAGCCCGTTTAAGCAGTCTTCTTTCTGCTTCTTATGTCGTTTAGGAGGAGGTGGTGCAGGTTTCTCAGTTTGGTTTATGGCGATACCGCCACTATCGTTAAGGTATTGGCCCAATGCACGCTTGCTTTGCTTGCTTGGCTTTGAGAACTGTCAAACAATTTTTAAAATCTACTAAAATGTATGAAAGTTGGCCTAGTGGCAGCTTTACTTCACTTGCTTGAAGCGCTTTAAAGTATCGATTAGCCGAAATCTCTATTTGACAGCGCGCTGTAGGCTTTTGACAACTCTTGACATTTCAATTTTTCGCGTCGATTTTGCTTGTGTGCAGTTTTTATCGCGTTCTTCATCAATTTTAGGTAAAATAATTTATATTAAACAATTATTTGTTGCTAACAACATTATTTTTTCAGATACCTTGCTTTTTATCGTTCCGGCCACCAGATTCGTT